CTCTTTGAGCCTGCTTCCTCAGCTGTCAGAGATAAGGACACCTTCCCTGCAGTGCTGTTGTGATGATTAAATGAAATCATAGATGTAAAGAGTGCTTGGTACAGCAGGAGGCACAGGGTAAGTGCTTGGGTAATGGAACCAAGATCATTATCACCATCTGGCTGCATGTTACAAGGATCAGTGAGATAATGGATACAAAATGTAAACTAGATGAACATAAAGGCTTATTATATAGACCAGTGTGTCCTGAAGAAAACTGGTGTCCTAAAGTGTGTCCTGCAGAAAACTGGTTCCCTGGAATGTTAATAGCTGTTTCTAAATAAAGGTTTTGCAGGCAATATGTTCTGAGAATGCAGTTAAATGAGAATACAGTAAGTGTCTTTATTGTTAAACTTTTTTTTTTTTTTGAGACGGAGTCTCACTCTGTCGCCCAGGCTGGAATGCAGTGGCCAGATCCCAGCTCACTGCAAGCTCCGCCTTCTGGGTTTACGCCATTCTCCTGCCTCAGCCTCCCGAGTAGCTGGGACTACAGGCGCCCGTCACCTCACCTGGCTAGTTTTTTGTATTTTTTTAGTAGAGACGGGGTTTCACCGTGTTAGCCAGGATGGTCTCGATCTCCTGACATTGTGATCCACCCGTCTCAGCCTCCCAAAGTGCTGGGATTACAGGCTTGAGCCACCACGCCCAGCCTATTGTTAAACTTTTTAATCCCTAATATTAATGTACACTGTGAATCTTCAAGAGGACAGAGTAGGCAAACCTAACTGACCAGGAGTGGCTACAGCGTTGTCAGTTCCACAGAACAAATGTGAGAGAAAGATCTGGATTTGCTGTTAGGGTGCCTTTAAAATCTAACACTTGTTAACTCTCCTTTTAAACCCGCTGGCTTGGAATTATCGGTTAATCCATATTCAGGTTCTCAGACCTGGGAGGCGGGGAGCTTAGTGGTCATCTTGCTCAGTGTTTTCCAAACCTCAGTCATTCCAGTACCTCCCTGGTTCTTGTCCTATCTAAAAGTGCCACTTGTACTCTTTTCTTCTTAACATTTTTCTTTAAATGAACCTATTTTTTTTTCTTTTTATTTGAGACAGAGTCTTGCTCTGTTGCCCAGGCGTGAGTGCGGTGGTGCAATCTCAGCTCACTGCAACCTCCGCCTCCTAGGTTCAAGCAATCCTTCCACCTCAGCTTCCTGAGCAGCTGGGATTACAGGTGCCCACCACCACGCCTGGCTAACTTTTGCATTTTTAGTAGAGATGGGGTTTCACTGTTGGCCAGACTGGTCTTGAACTCCTGACCTCAAGTGATCTGCCCGCTTCAGCCTCCCAAAGTGTTGGGATTACAGGTGTGAGCCACTGTGCCCGGCCGAACCTATTTTTTTTCTTAAAATAAATTTATTTACTGAGACGGAGTCTTGCTCTGTCGCCTAGGCTGGAGTGCAGTGGCACGATCGTAGCTCACTGCAGCCTCGAATTCCTGTGCTTACATTATCCAACTGCCTCAGCCACCTGAGTAGCTGGGACCACAAGTACCCAACTAATTGTTTTTCTTTTCTTTTTTGTTTTGTAGAGACAGGGTCTTGCCATGTTGCCCAGGCTGGTCTCGAACTCCTGGCCTTAAGCAGTCTCCTGCCTCAGCCTCCCAAAGTACTGGTATTATAAGTATGAGCCACTGTGCCCATCCTTTAAGTAAGTTTAAAAGACAACTTCATAGCACTACTGCATGTGGAAAGTCTCACTTGCCACAGAGAGAAGCTAGCCATAAAAATAAAAGTAGTGGGCCAGGCACGGTGGTTCACGCCTGTAATCCCAGCACTTTGGGAGGCTGAGGTGGGCAGATCACCTGAGGTCAGGAGTTTGAGACCAGCCTGGCCAACATGGTGAAACCCCGTCTCTACTAAAAATATAAAAATGAGCCAGGCGTGGTGGTGCATGCCTATAATCCCAGCTACTCGGGTGACTGAGGCAGGAGAACTGCTTGAACCCGGGAGGCAGAGGTTGCAGTGAGCAGAGATTGTGCCACTGCATGCCAGCCTGGGTGACAGGGTGAGACTAAATAAAGTAAGTAAGTAATAAGTAGTGAAAATGAAACATCATTAAATCTTGCCTAGATGCTGTTGCCTAAAGAAGGCCCTGACGTGAGATCCACTTTCTGGTTCTTTTCTAAAAATGGAGATGAGAAGTGTTAGAGAAGTAGGTTTTTTTTTTTTTTTTTTGAGGCAGAGTTTCACTCTTGTTGCCCAGGCTGGAGTGCCATGAGCGATCTCAGCTCACCGCAACCTCCGCCTCCCAGGTTCAAGCGATTCTTCTGCCTCAGCCTCCCAAGTAGCTGGGATTACAGGCATGTGCCACCACGCCCAGCTAATTTTGCATTTTTGTTGCATGTTGGTCAGGCTGGTCTCGAATTCTCGACCTCAGGTGATCCACCTGCCTTGGCCTCCCAAAGTGCTGAGATTATAGGTGTGTGCGTGAGCCACTGCAACTGGCCCAAGAAGTACTTTTTAAAAAACCAAACCGAGAGCTGGCCGGGCATGGTGGCTCACGCCTGTAATCCCAACACTCTGGGAGGCCAAGGCGGGCGGATCACAACAAGGTCAGGAGATCGAGACCATCCTGGCTAACACAGTGAAACCCCCCTGGCTAACACAGTGAAACCCCGTCGTTACCAAAAAATACAAAAAATTGTGGTGGGCACCTGTAGTCCCAGATACTCAGGAGGCTGAGGCAGGAGAATGGCATGAACCCAGGAGGCTGTAGCTTGCACTGAGCCGAGAGTGCGCCACTGCACTCCAGCACTCCAGCCTGGGCGACAGAGCAAGACTCCGTCTGAAAACAAAAACAAAAACAAAAAAAACAAAACTGAGAGCTTCTCAATTTGTAGTCAGAAAGATTAAAAACAATTAGGCTGGGTGTGATGCTCATGCCTGTAATCTCAGCACTTTGGGAAGCCAAGGTAGGAAGATTGCTCAAGGCCAGGAGTTCAAGGCTAGCCCTGGCAACATAGGGAGACCCCCCATCTCTACAAAAAAAAAAAAAAAATTATTTTTTAAATAGCTGGGTGTGGTGGTGCATGCCTATAGTCCTAGCTACTTGGGAGGCTGAGGCAGGAGGAATGCTTAAGCCCAGGAGGATGAAGCTGCAGTAAGCTATAATTGTACCACTGCACTTCAACCTGGCCAATGGAGTGAGACCCTGTCGGAAAAAAAAAAAAAAAAAAAAATTAAAAGGGGAACCACCTCCTGATTCTGATGCAGTGATATTTACTCTAGTGCACACCACCTAAAAACCTCAGGTACCAATACTTGTACATGTCTCATTTTTGGACAAACACTGACTTGACCGAGCACTTCCTTCACTAGAAACAGAAGTGGACCCAGAGGTGATGGCCTTGCCTGAGGTCACACAGGGAAGGAGTAGCTGACCTTAGGTTAGAACTTGAGTCCTAGGCCAGTATACTTTTCACAGTTATGGCAATTGTGGCTATCTACAGACCTGTCCTCTGGGTCTAGTTTGGAAAATCCTGACCGGGGATGTGGAGGCCAGGTGTCCAAAGTGGAACAAGCTCCGTGCTGTTCCTAAAGGAGACCCAAGAGATTGGCCTGGGTTTCAGCTCTTGTCTGGTTTTCCAGCGGGGGCTGTCAGAAGAACTAACTGCTCTATGGGAAGGGAGTACAAAAAAAGGGGCAGCAGCCCCGGGCACTGAAGCTCATCTCTGTCTTTCTCTCTTCTTGCTGCCTTGGGCCTGGGTCATTTCAGACAAACCTCAGGTAAGATGGGACTGGGCTTCCCCGCCACTGTGGCAGCAGCTCCCGCCCTCCTGGGTGCTATCCCAGGGGTGAAAGGAAGAGGTGGGGAGGCACAGCTGGGAGTGTGGGGGATGGGGAGGGATGGGGAGGGAACGGGCCCATGGACAACTTGCATTTGCCCTGACACCCACCCTCCCTGCAGCTCTACACCCTCGCCGTGATAGGCCCAGGGCCGCCAGATTGCCAGCCAGCCCAGATCTCTCGCCGTTACTCGGACTTTGAGCGGCTGCACCGAAACCTGCAGCGGCAATTCCGGGGCCCAATGGCTGCCATCTCCTTCCCCCGTAAGCGGCTGCGCCGGAATTTTACTGCAGAGACCATTGCCCGCCGTAGCCGGGCCTTTGAGCAGTTTTTGGGTCACCTGCAGGCAGTGCCTGAGCTGCGCCATGCCCCAGACCTGCAGGACTTCTTCGTGCTGCCAGAGCTGCGGCGGGCACAGAGCCTCACCTGTACTGGCCTCTATCGTGAGGCTCTGGCACTCTGGGCCACTGCCTGGCAGCTGCAAGCCCAGCTGGGCACCCCCTCTGGCCCAGACCGCCCCCTGCTGACCCTGGCTGGGCTGGCCGTGTGCCACCAGGAGCTGGAAGACCCTGGGGAGGCCCGGGCATGCTGTGAGAAGGCCCTGCAGCTGCTTGGGGACAAGAGCCTCCACCCTTTGCTGGCACCCTTTCTGGAGGCCCATGTTCGACTCTCCTGGCGCCTGGGCCTGGACAAACGTCAATCAGAGGCTCGGCTCCAAGCCCTGCAGGAGGCAGGCCTTACCCCCACGCCACCCCCTAGTCTCAAAGAACTGCTCATCAAGGAGGTGCTGGACTAACCCTTGCCTAGGTTTAAGGCCACTGTGAGGAGAGAGGCTGCCCCAGAATGCAGGGGAAGGACCCAATGAGGACAGAATAGCTGGGAGCACCTAGAAGTTCCAAAAGAGAATGTGAAGCAGATCAAGGAAACTTCTGTTGAGCTGGGCTCAGGATGAGCTTTGGCTGAGGTTGCCCTGGTATAGTACAGGGAAGAAGTCTGACACAGCCTCTCCAGCTTATAAACAGCCAAGGGGCTGTGGCACAGGTCAGGGGCAATGTTCCCTTGTTGGTGGGCCCCCAAGCTGGCGAGGCCTCCTCTGAAGGCCAGGGACTCTGCCCTGGAGTCCTGGAGTTGAGGGATGAAGGCAAGGTCTGGCCCAGGGGAATTAAAGGCCAGCCACTCCAGTGGTATCAGTCTCTTTATTGGATGTGAGGGCCAAAAGGGACTGTAACTGCTGTCTCAGGAATGGGGATAGATGGGAGGTTCTTGAAGCCCCAGGCCAAGCTGGTACCTCTGGCTACAGCTTGCTCTCTGAGACCTGGGGCTTCACACGGATCACGCCCTCCTGGGCACAGGTCACAGCTAGGACTCCATCCTGACGCCACAGCCGCCCATGGACCAGCCCCCGAGAGCCACCTGTGGGTGAGGTGAAAGGTGAGGATGGCCTGCTTCAGAACAGCCAAATGCACTTCTTTTTTTCTGAAACAGAGTCTATGTTGCCCAGGCTGGTCTCAAGCTCCTGGGTTCAAGGGATCCTCCCACCTCAGCCTCCTGAGCAGCTGGGATTACAGGCTTAGCACAGCACCACGCCCGACCTCCAAGTGGACTTCTTGAAAAGGGTCTGGCCCAGGGCAGGGCTGCCCCACACAAGGGTGTGCTGAGTGTCATGGCTGCTCCAAATGCCCCTTCTTGATCTTATTATGGACCATCATTGAGGGGTAACTCCTCCCACAGGAACCCCACTTGATAGTTTAAAAGCACTTTCACACCTCTGCTCGCTTCCTCAAAAAGATCACGGAGGGAGGAGCTCTCAGAACAGTCTCCTTCAACTGCTTGGCCAAGCAGAACTGCTATCCCTCTGGCCACTCGTGTTAGGAAACCTATTGGCTCCCTGTATAATAAATCAAGCCAGATCCTCCAAGTGGTGATTCCTGAAAAATATCCCCACTACCACCACCAAGGGGAAGAAGGGGCTCAGCAGAGGAATTAAAGCCACGAGGTCTGGCCTCTTCCCTCCCCACCTGGAGATTCTTGCTCCCTTGCTGGCTTTGGGCCTGAGTCTGATGTTTATGAGGATGATTGCTGGTTTCCCTTACACATAGCAGAGCTCACTCAGTTCTCACAGTAGCCAAAGGAAGCAGTTATGTGTTGTGCAGTTTTCCAGACCAGGACTGAAATCCAGAGAGGGTCAGGAATTTGGTTCCATCATGAGGCCAAATCTGAACCCACATCCTCACTTCAAGGTTATCAATCTTGGATTGGGATGCTATTGGTACGTGAGAGTACCCCTTATCTGAGTATAACGAGTCCTTAAGTTTTTCCCTTGGTTTATCGAGCAAAGCCTTTCTTCATTTGAAATGTACTCCCTTGGAAAGGAGGTCAGGGTTCTGAAGCTAGACATTGATGAATGAGTCTTGTTTCTCTATCTCCCCTGCAAGGAATGTCCAAGCCGTGAGGCCCTTAGGGACTACTGAATGCTCCAACCCCAATCAGGTTAATCAGAGTCACTTAGAGAACTTAAACATACAGTTTCCTGGACCTTATCCAAGACCTACTGAGTCAGAATCTTGAGGGTGGAATCAGAATCTATTTTGAAAAGGCGTCCCCAAATGGCAGTCTGATGGGCTGCCGGGTTTGGATACCATTGCTGTAATGTAACCCTCTTTGTTTAGATGAGGAAACAGGCTCAGACGGAAGACACGATTTGCCTATTGTAATAAAAAGAATCTGAACTGGTTCTGGGACTAGAACTGGGTCCCTGGGAGAAGGTGAATCACATTCCCAGCACATTCTAGCAATTTAGAGCAGAGCAGGTGTCCCAGCCTCACCCTCTCATTTTGAAGATGAAGATGCGAAAGCCTAGGAGGGAAGGAAAGGAAGTGACCTGTGCAGTGCCACACAGGAAGTCAGGGGAAGTCAGCATCTGCCACCCAAGGTCAGTGCCCTTGTCCCACACGGCCCCACACTCACCAGCCCAGGGGCTCTCGCACTCATAGAGCATCCAGTGGTCAGCTCGGAAGGGGGTGTGGAACCACATGGAATGGTCCAATGAGACCATGAAGTGCACCTTGTGCTGCCACTGGTGAGGCAGCACTGCAGTGCCCAAGAAGGCATAGTCGGAGATATAGGCGGCCACGCAGCAGTGCATCTTCATGTCACCCTCGCCTGCAACAGGTCCCCATCAGCCCTGGGCTCCTGGGCTTTCCAGCTCAGGACCTGCAGGGAGGTAGGGAAAAAGGGACTCCCGTGCATGGGTGTGCAGACTGGTTGCTGCACAAGAGCACTTGGCCTACAGTGTGTATGTGTGACGGGGGATAAGTGAGATGGTGATATGGGGAGGGCAGGGGTGAGCAGGGACTGAAATTCACCCAAGTCTCCCACACTAGGCCCCAAAAGGGGTGTCATCTTCCAATTTGCACAAAGACACTTTACGGTTAGCAGCAAAGCTGGACAACAACCCCAGTGAGGTGCCTTGCCTTCCTCAGAAAGGCCTTGTGTTGGGATTATAGTCACCTCCACATTCTCCCTATGCAAAGGGCTGAGAGGCCCCAGGTGAGAAGCTAAGCCAACTTCCCCGTCATGCAGATAAGGAAACAGGCCCAGAGAAGGGAACTCATGTGCCCAAGGTCACACAGCAAATGAGTGGTACACCCCTTGGAGAGTGGTTTCCTCCCATCCCTGGGGTCATCTTACCAATATAGCCCCGGGCTCGCACCCAGAACATCTGTTTGGGCTCCATTCTCTGCAGCTGGCTCAGGGGGGATGGGTTTATTGGCTTGATCTCAATGGGGACCTCCTGAGCAGCAATTCGGTTGAGCGCCACTGGGTACCTCTTTTGGAGGTTAGGGTCCCTGAAAGTAAAGGGGAGAGGGATGGGGTGAGACCCAGGAAGAGAGGAAGTCACATCTGCATTGCCTCTTCTGACTCCCCTCATTCTTCCACAGGGAAGATATCCCCAAAGCTCCCCTCCCCTCGTGCCAGGCAAGATAGTGCAGTGTTTGAATCCCTTCTTTGCCACTTATGAGCCATGTGGTCTTGTGCTAATTAGTAATCTCTCTGAGTCTATTTTCCCATCTGCAAAGTGTGGATAATGATAGTAACCTACCTCATAACCAACACTGAAGTCAAGATCACGTATATCTAACCAACACATCATAGTAATAAGGCATACCCGATAATATGCCCTGTTCTAAGCATTGTACATACGATAGTATTCCTCACAACAACCCTGTGAGATAGGTACTATTACCCCCGTTTCATCAGTGAAATAAGCACAGAGTCCAAGTAGCTTGCTTAACAACTGGAGAGACAGGATTTGGACTTAGGCAATCTGGGTCCACAGTACGATGATTTTCTGTTTTTTTAGAGACAGGGTTGTCTTCTCACCCAGGCTGGAGTACAGTGGCGCCATCAGCTCACTGCCGTCTCCAACTCCCAGGCTCAAGCCATCCTCTCGCCTTGGCCTCCCAAGTAGCTGGGACTAGAGGTGTACGCCACTATGCCTAGCTAATATTTTTATTTTTTCTCTTTTTTGAGATAGAGTCTAGTTTTGTCGCCCAGGCTTGAGTAAGGCAGTGCAATCTCAGCTCACTGCAACTTCCGCCTCCCAGGTTCAAGCGATTCTCCTGCCTCAGCCTCCCGAGTAGCTGGGATTACAGGCGCCTGCCACCACGCCCAGCTAATTTTTGTATTTTTAGTAAAGACGGGTTTCACTGTGTTGGCCAGGGTGGTCTCGAACTCCTGACCTCATGATCTGCCCGCTTCAGCCTCCCAAAGTGCTGGGATTATTTTTCCTTTTTTCATAGAGATGAGGTCTCCTTACATTGCCCAGGCTGGTCTCAAAATCCTGGACTTAAGTGATCCTCCTACCTCAGCGTGCTGGGATTACAGGAGTGAGCCGCTGTGCCCAGCCACTTCATTATTTTAAACACTCAAGAAACACTCTGCCTGACTTGGCCTGAGTTATGAGTTATGAAACCCTAGACAGTAGGGAACATTGTGTCCCCCCAAGGGGAGGAGCCCACTCCAAGGAATTCCCTTCAATACAGTGACAACCACCCACAGTGGTCTACAAAGGTACTGCCATTTTCACCCCTGTCCTCTGAAGTGCTGTCCGACAGAACCTTCTATGATGACGGAATGCCTCTCTGCACTGCACACTATGGTAGCCACTAGCCACATGTGACTATGGAGCACCTGAAATGTGACTAATGCAACTGAGGAACAGAACTGTTCATTCTATTGACTTTGTTTTTTTGTTTTTTTTTTTTAGATGGAATCTCGCTCTGTTGCCTAGTCAGGAATGCAGTGACTCGATCTTGCTCACTGCAACCTCTGCCTCCTGGGTCCAAGCGATTCTCCTGCCTCAGCCTCCTGAGTAGCTGGGATTACAGGCGTGCGCAACCACGCCTGGCTAATTTGTGTGTGTGTATTTTTAATAGAGATGGGGTTTCACCATGTTGGCCAGGCTGGTCTCGAACTCCTGACCTTGGGCAACCCACCCGCCTTGGCCTCCCAAAGTGCTGGGATTGCAGGCATGAACCACTGTGCCCGGCCCTATTTAATTTTAATTAATGTAATATAGCCACAAGTGGCTACAGACTACCTTACTGAACAGTACAGATCTAAATTCAAGGTCCTTTAACAATGTCTTCCTCTCATTTCAGCAAACATGTGTCGAGTTGCAACCACACACCAGGCCCTGTGTTTTTTCTGTTAACAGTGATATAACTACAATTCACTGCCATTGTGCTAGTTAGTACTAGCACACTACGTGCCTTATCTCTTTTATTTCATTTAATCCTCACAGCAACCTTGTAAGGTAGGAATATGATTAGCACCATTTTATAATTGAGAGTACTGGCTCAGAGTGGGAAAGCAACTTGTCCAAACTCACACAGCTAGTAGGGGCAAAATCTAGGATTGAATCCAGGACTTTCAGGTTCCCAAACCCACATCCATCCCATCATACTCTGCTGCCTCCCCAGTATCTAGCATGAGACAGAGACACTATCTCCTTATGATATAGCTAAGAAGTAGGGCAGAAATGAGCATTTCCTTTTTTTTTTTTTTGAAATGGAGTCTCACTCTGTTGCCCAGGCTGGAGTGCAGTGGCTCGATCTCAGCTCACCGCAAGCTCCACCTCCCGGGTTCACGCCATTCTCCTGTCTCAGCCTCCCGAGTAGCTGGGACTACAAGCGCCCACCACCTCGCCCGGCTAATTTTTTGTATTTTTTAGTAGAGATGGGGTTTCACTGTGTTAGCCAGGATGGTCTCAATCTCCTGACCTCGTGATCTGCCCGGCTCAGCCTCCCAAAGTGCTGGGATTACAGGCGCGAGCCACTGCGCCCAGCCAAGCATTCCCATTTTTTAGACGAAACTAGGGCACTGGGGAGTTGAGCACTGTCCCACAGCAGGTGAGCATTAACAGAGGCACAGTCCTGGCTAGAATCCATGTGTCTGTCCTGTGTCTGGCCAGACCCAGAGCTCTTTCCCCTGCACCAGCATTTTTCAAACGTTATTAGGTATGATCCAAACAAATATATTTTACCAGGTATTCAAAATATCTAACATGCTCCCTGGTGGTCTAATGGTTAGGGGAAAATACATATTTGTATTTTTGTATATACGTTTCATATACATAAAACATGCAGGTGGCTGACGCCTGTAATCCCAGCACTTTGGGAGGCCAAGGCAGGTGTATCACTTGAAGTCAGGAGTTTGAGACCAGCCTGGTCAACATAGCGAAACCTGGTCTCTACTAAAAAAATACAAAAATTAGGCAGGCATGGTGGTGTGTACCTGTAACCACAGCTACCTGGGGGGCTGACGCATGAATATCGCTTGAACCTGGGAGGCAGAGGTTGCAGTGAGCCGAGATCACGCCACTGCCCTCCAGTCTAGGCAACAGAGTGAGACTGTCTCAACACAAACAAACAAACAAACAAAAAAGATATGCACTAAGGCAAAAGGCAGTGACCAATCAAACACAGGCCATAGCTCTGCAGCTCTCTAGAGGACACTCACTCCTGGTGCACATTTAGTCCTAAGCTGCTGGACCAGGGGCCTGAGGGAAAAGAGGGAATCACTTAGGGGACTGGGGAGGTGGTATTTACCAAGTGGTTACAGAAGTATTTCAGTATATATATATACTTTTTTCCGGGTATGGGGAAATTATGGCTCATGCCTATAATCCCAGCACTTTGGGAGGCCAAGGTGGGTGGATCACCTGAGATCAAGAGTTCGAGACCAGCCTGGCCAACATGGTGAAACGCCATCTCTACTAAAAATATAAAATTCCATCCTGGCTAACATGGTGAAACCCCGTCTCTACTAAAAATACAAAAAAAAAAAAAAAAATTAGCCAGGCATGGTGGCAGGTGCCTGTAGTCCCAGCTACTCGGGAGGCTGAGGCAAGAGAATGGCGTGAACCCAGGAGGCGGAGCTTGCAGTGAGCTGAGATGCGCCACTGCACTCCAGCCTGCGCAGCAGAGCGAGACTCCGTCTCAAAAAAAAAAAAAAAAAAAAAAAGATACAAACTTAGCCGGGTGTGGTAGCAGGTACCTGTAATCCCAGCTACTTGGGAGGCTGAGGCGGGAGAATCGCTTGAGCCTGGGAGGCAGAGGCTGCAGTGAGCCAAGATGGTGTCACTGCACTCCAGCCTGGGCAACAAGAGCAAGACTCCGTCTCAAAAACCAACAAACATATAAACAACAACAAAACAACTATATGTATGTGTGTATATATGTATATATATTTGTGTATATGTATATGTGTATACATGTGTGTGTGTATATATGTATATATGTGTATATGTGTATATATGTGTGTATATGTATATATGTGTGTATATGTGTATATGTGTATATATGTATGTATATGTATATGTGTATGTGTGCGTGTATGTGTGTATATATATATTTTTTCTTGAGACAGAATCTTGCTCTTATTGCCCAGGCTGGAGTGCAATAACATGATCTCGGCTCACTGCAGTCTCCACCTCCCAAGCTCAAGCGATCCTCAGCCTCCTGAGTAGCTGGGACTACAGACGCGTGCCCCCACGCCCGGATAATTTTTGTATTTTTTGTAGAGACAGGGTTTCACCATGTTGCCCAGGCTAGTCTTGAACTCCTGGGCTCAAGTGATCCTCCTGCTTGGGCTTCCCAAAGTGTTGTTATAAGTGTGAGCCCCTACACCCAGCCCCAGCTTTATTTTTAAATTAGAGATGGAGTCTTGCTGTTGGCCAGGCTAGTGTCCAACTCCTGGTCTCGAGCAATCCTCCTGCCTTGGCCTCCAAAAGTGCTGGGATTATAGGTATGCACCACCGCACCTGGCCAAGCCCTTCATTTTGTACCATGGCCCAATACAGACACACACCAGGAACGCACACAACTAAACCTCAAGTTTCACAAAAGGATTCTTGCCCTAAATACATACATATTATTCACTCCAATATCTTCTTTTCCTTTTTTTTTTTTGAGATGGAGTCTCGCTCTGTCGCCCAGGCTGGAGTGCAGTGGCCAGATCTCGGCTCACTGCAAGCTCCACCTCCCGGGTTTACACCATTCTCCTGCCTCAGCCTCCCGAGTAGCTGGGACTACAGGCGCCTGCCACCTCGCCCGGCTAGTTTTTTTGTTTTTTTTAGTAGAGACGGGGTTTCACCGTGTTAGCCAGGATGGTCTCGATCTCCTGACCTCGTGATCTGCCCACCTTGGCCTCCCAAAGTGCTGGGACTACAGGCTTGAGCCACCGCGCCCGGCCTTTTTTTTTTTTTTTTTTTTTTGAGACGGAGTCTCGTTCTGTTGCCCAGGCTGGAGTACAGTAGTGCAATCTCAGCTCACTGCAAGCTCCACCTCAAGGGTTCACGCCATTCTCCTGCCTCAGCCTCCCGAGTACCTGGGACTACAGGCACCCACCACCATGCCTGGCTAATTTTTGTCTTTTTAGTAGAGACGGGGTTTCACCTTGTTAGCCAGGATGGTCTTGATCTCCTGACCTTGTGATCCACCCGCCTCGGCCTCCCAAAGTGCTGGGATTATAGGCGTGAGCCACCACGCCCGGCCCCAGTATCTTCTTTTCTAATCTGTATTTTTTAAATGCTGGTCAAGACCCACTGAAGGATTCCATGACCCACAAACAGATAGGAGCTGCATTTTGAAAAGTCTGCCATGGAGCCTCCAGGTTTCTCACCTTAAATACTGGTCAATGAGGGTCTCACAGTCAAGCAGCTCTTCTGGTGGTGGCACAGTGGGCATGGAGAACTGGTGCTGCATGGGGCTGGGCTGGGCCTGCTGGAAGGAGGCCTGGCAGATGAAGATGGGCTTCCCATGTTGCACGGCCTTCACAGAGCGCACCGAGAAGCTCGACCCTGTTCGTGTCCGCTCCACTTGGTACAGTACTGGCACGTTTGGGTCCCCTGCAGTGGGCACAAGGGCACAGTGGGTCCACAGGCCCTGTCATCATGACAACACCTGACAGGCACTCTATTACTCATCTTCCATTCCATTTCATCTCGGTAACTACTCACTGAGGTCTGCTAAGGTCCAGGCACTAGGGATACAGAGAGACCACCAGGCCCTGTCATCGGGCTGCTCCCTGTGCAGGTGGAGCTTTTCTTTAACAGCACAAACTGCAGAGACATTGACAGATTCCTTGCATTCAAATCCTGGCTCTACCACTCACCAGCTGTGTGACCCTTCACTTCTCTGAGCAGTGTGCTCATTTGCAAACTGGGGATCATCACGGTGCTCATCGCTTACAGGATTTTAATGAAATGAGTCCATAGTTGTAAAGTGTTTAGCATAATATCTGGCACATAGTGAGGGCTCTATATGTGTTTGTTAAATAAAATTAACACTCCTTCCAGCCGGGCGTGGTGGCTCAAGCCTGTAATCCCAGCACTTTGGGAGGCCGAGACGGGCGGATCATGAGGTCAGAAGATCGAGACCATCCTGGCTGACACGGTGAAACCCCGTCTCTACTAAAAAATACAAAAAACTAGCCGGGCGAGGTAGCGGGCGCCTGTAGTCCCAGGTACTCGGGAGGCTGAGGCAGGAGAATGGTGTAAACCCGGGAGGTGGAGCTTGCAGTGAGCTGAGATCCGGCCACTGCACTCCAGCCTGGGCGACAGAGCAAGACTCTGTCTCAAAAAAAACAAAAAACAAAAAACTTCTTCCTTCTATCTTGCTCCATCTGTACCTGGGATCTTGTCATCAGTCCCAAACAATTATTCTAGATCAGGGAGCAGTAAATCTAGTCTCCAGCCTGTTTACTGTTTATTCTGTTGTTGTTTTCTTTTTTGAGAACAAACAAAGGCTATTTATTCAGAGCTTGTTCTTTTTTTTTTTTTTTTTTTTGAGATGCAGTCTTGCTCTGTTACCCAGGCTGGAGTGCAGTGGCATGATCTCGGCTCACTGCAACCTCCACCTCTCAGGTTCAAGTGATTCTCGTGCCTCAGCCTCCTGAGTGGCTGGGACTACAGGGGTGCACCACCACACCCAGCTAATTTTTTTTTTTTTAAGAGGCAGTCTCGCTGGGTCACCCAGGCTGAAGTATAGTGGCGTCATCTGGGCTCACTACAACCTCTGCCTCCCAGGTTCAAGCCATGCTCATGCCTCAGCCTCCTAAGTAGCTGGGACTACAGGCGTGTGCCACCACACCCAACTAATTTTTGTATTTTTAGTAGAGATGGGGGTTTCACTATGTTGCCCAGGCTGGTCTCGAACCCCTGACCTCAACTGATCCACCCACCTCAGCCTCCCAAAGTGCTGGGATTATAGGTATGAGCCACTGCGCCCAGCCAATCAGAGCTTGTTATAGCAGGAAGTCAACCACCATCACTTGCTTTTGGCAGAGACTTAGGGGCAGGAAAAGGAATGGGAACGCTCTGTAATGGAAAAAAAGGCTTCACGGAGGCTCTGATTGCAGGCTTTTGGCATGGGGAAGCTGTTGGTGGGCTAACTAGAAGCACGACATCTGGCTGGGCACGGTGGCTCACGCCTGTAATCCCAACACTTTGGGAGGCTGAGGCAGGCAGATCTTCTGAGGCCAGGAGTTCAAGACCAGCCTGGCCAACATGGCAAAACCCTGTCTCTACTAAAAATACAAAAAATTAGCCAGGCGTGGTGGCACACGCCTGTAATCCCAGCTACTCGGGAGGCTGCGGCAGGAGAATTGCTTGAAGGTGGGAGGTGGAGGCTGTAGCAGAACTGCTTGAACCTGGGAGGTGGCGGCTGCAGGGAGCCAAAATTGCGCCATTACACTCTAGCCTGGGCAACAAGAGTGAAACTCTGTCTCAAAAAAAAAGTGGGACATCCTATGTGATTGGTTAGGGGTACATATTTGGCTTTCTCTGGTTGGTCCTAAGTTGGAAGCAGGGGCAAAAATTAGGGTAGCTATCAGTTATTAATCAAGTCCTGGCTTTGGGGGCCAATTGCTACACTGGTCATTATTTGGCTTGCTGGACTGGTTGGTAAAGATAGTGGTCCGACTTCCTACAAGTCTGACTTGTGGACAGTAGACTGGCTTCCTGTGCTGGTTGCTGCTATTGTGCATCAGAGTTCTGTTTTTCTACATGGTCTAGCCACTGTTTGTTTGTATATTCAGTCTCTCCCAGGCAAGGTCAGTGTCAGTCACTTCACCCCTGATGTATACGGAAGCCATTTGGTCCTTCACTGTCAGGTGTCTCTGCTCCAAAGCAGAGTGGAAGAGCCTGGGCAACACAGGGAGACCCTGTGTCTACAAAAAATAAAAAATAAAAATTAGCTGGACATGGTGGCATGTGCCTATGGTCCCAGCCAATCAAGAGGCTGAGGCAGAAGGATCAGTTGAGGCCAGGAGATCAAGGCTGCAGTGAGCCATGACTGCGTCACTGTGCTCCAGCCTGGGTGACAGAGCAAGACCTTGTCTCAAAAACAGGAGCGGCCGCGCGCGGTGGCTCAAGCCTGTAATCCCAGCACTTTGGGAGGCCGAGATGGGCGGATCACGAGGTCAGGAGATCGAGACCATCCTGGCTAACAGGGTGAAACCCCGTCTCTACTAAAAAATACAAAAAACTAGCCGGGCGAGGGGCGAGGTGGCGGGCGCCTGTAGTCCCAGCCACTTGGGAGGCAGAGCTTGCAGTGAGCTGAGATCCAGCCTGGGCGACAGAGCGAGACTCCGTCTCAAAAAAAAAAAAAAAAACAAGAGCACCACCACCAGAGTAGAAGGCACTGGCCAGGGATAAGGCAGCCAACAACAAGCAGGTGAGGGAAGATTTGGAGAGGAAGAGAACTTCCCTGGTTTCCCTGAAGTTCTCACTTTGTCTGAGTCAGGCCGGCCTTGGGGAACCCTGACATCTGGGCCATGAGACATCTTGGGGATGACTTTCAACCATCAGATGAAAGAAGCAGGTCTAGAGAAGTGTTGCTTCCTTCACTCTGATGCAAATGGGGAATCAACCGGGCCCCAGGGCTTAATCAACAGCAATAAACATCACTGTCTGAAGCCAACTGGCCTGCTCAGGTGTCTGTTATCAGGCACTGCCACCAGCAGCACTTCTATCAGAGTAGGAGCTCCTCAAGGTTAAAGGCGTTTGAGGAGGGCTTACCAAGAGTCCAGACACCACAGAGAGCTAATTGTGCAGTCTGCTTTCAGACACTGGGAAGGCAGTCTCCCCTCCCTATCACCAAACTTGGGGAGAAAAAACAAAAAAACCTCGAATCCAATCCTTGGTCTGCAGGTAAGCTAAAGTACAGATTCCTGAGGAGGATCACAGAACCTTCAGTTCTCTGGTCTGCCTTTCAGTGTGAATGAGTTCCAGCCCTATTCTTGAAAATTGTTATTGGAACACAGCAGGTAGGCCCCGAGGCTTACTGAAGGGAGTTAAAGATTATGGAGTGATGCAGGGTGCCAGACAGCATGGGACAGGAGAGTATGTTTCCTCACGTTGGTCTCACAATAACCATGTAGAGCCACTCTTACCCCCATTGTACCGATGAGGAAACTGTTGCCTTAAAATACAATTTTTTTGTAATAAAGTCATGCTCATTTGTTTACATATTGTCTATAGTTGCTTTCACTGGCAAAACCTAAAATGTTTACTATCTGGCCCTTCTAGAATGTTTGCTGATCTTGTTCAGAATTCTTTAAGCTCTAAATTTACCTCTGTAGAGAAAAACTAAAAACAAAACAAAAACCCAACTAATTAACATTAAAAATTAACGTTTTTAGAAAAATAACTGATATGATAAATGGCCAAGGACCAACCCTCCCCCTCCCCCATAACATCTTTTATTTAAAAATGTAATTGAAACATCTTTTTTTCTTTTTTTGAGATGGAGTCTCAATCTGTCGCCCAGGTGGGAGTGCAGTGGCGCAGTCTTGGCTCGCTGCAACCTCCACCCCCAAGGTTCAAGCGATTCTCCTTGCCTTAGCCTTCCGAGTAGCCGGGATCACAGGCTCGGGCCACCATGCTTGGCTAATTTTTTTTTTTTTTTTGAGACGGAGTCTTGCTCTGTCACCCAGGCTGGAGTGCAGTGGCCGGATCTCAGCTCACTGCAAGCTCCGCCTCCCGGGTTTACGCCATTCTCCTGCCTCAGCCTCCCGAGTAGCTGGGACTACAGGCGCCCGCCACCTTGCCCGGCTAGTTTTTTTTTTGTATTTTTTAGTAGAGACGGGGTTTCACCGTGTTAGCCGGGATCGTCTCTCGATCTCCTGGCCTCGTGATCCGCCCGTCTCGGCCTCCCAAAGTGCTGGGATTACAGGCTTGAGCCACCGCGCCCGGCCTAATTTTTTTTTTTTAATGGAGTCTTGCTCTGTCACCCAGGCTGCAGTACAGTGGCACGATCTCAGCTCACTGCAACCTCTACCTCCCGGGTTCAAGCGATTCTCCTGACTCAGCCTCCCAAGTAGCTGGGATTACAGGTGTGCGCCACCACGCCCGGCTAATTTTTGTTTTTGTGTTTTTGTTTTTGTTTTTTTTTTTAGTAGAGATGGGGTTTCACCACATTGGCCAGGCTGGTCTCGAACTCTTGACCTCAGGTGATCCGCCCACCTTGGCCTCCCAAAGTCCTGGGATTACAGGTGTAAGCCACCATGCCCAGCCAAAAAACAGCACTGGTTGGCCGGGCGCGGTGGCTCACGCCTGTAATCCCAGCACTTTGGAAGGCCGAGGCGGGCGGATCACAAGGTCAGGAGATCGAGACCATGGTGAAACCCCGTCTCTACTAAAAATAGAAAAAAATTAGCCGGGCGCAGTGGCGGGCGCCTGTAGTCCCAGCTACTCGGGAGGCTGAGGCCGGAGAATGGCGTGAACCCGGGAGGCGGAGCTTGCAGTGAGCCGAGATTGCGCCACTGCACTCCAGCCTGGGCGACAGAGCGAGACTCCGTCTCAAAAAAAAAACAAAAAAAAAAAAAAAAAAAAAACAGCATTGGTTTTAATGTCCAATATAGCTGGCAGAGTCGCATCCCAAACAGATAAAAGCGCTCCCCTTTTTGCCTTGCAGCCAGGAAGCTCGGAACTAAACGTATGAAACTGCAACAGTATGGCTTAGCCAAATTTTGACATGATCGTTTCTCCCAAATCCCCTGTTACTACTGGCCTGATGTCCTTTGACTTTTAATAATCCCAGAATAGCTACCAATTATTTTAGCTATCTTGCAGTCTTTCAAGACACAGGCAGGGGCACAAATAATAATAATAATTATTATTTTGATGAAGACAGGTCTCACTCTGTCGCCCAGGCTGCAGTGCAGTAGCGTGATCTCAGCTTACTGCAACCTCCGCCTCCTGAGTTCAAGCAATTCTCCTACTTTAGCCTCCAGAGTGGCTGGGACTACAAGCGCATGCCGCCATGTCTGGCTAATTTTTTGTATTTTAGTAGAGACTGGGTTTCACCGTTTTGCTCAGGGTGGTCTCGAACTCCTGAGCTCAGGTGATCCACCCGCCTCGGCCTCCCAAAGTGCTAGGATTACAGGCATGAGCCACCACGCCCGGCCAAATTATTATTAATTTTGAAATGGTAGCCTGGACACGGCTCATTTCACGCTGCTCCTAGATGGAGAATTTCCAAGAAAGAGGATCTTTTCCCCAGAACCTGGGATGGGTACCCTGGCAGCTCTCCCATTGTTTAGAATTATCGCCCAAGAGTTTAAGAGAGAAGCAAAGAAGCAGGAAAGAGTTTGGCACTCGAAGACACATAAACCAGGTTCACATCCTGGCTCTGCCTCCTTGGGCACTGTGGGAGCTGGTTCCAAACCTCTTCGGGTCCCAGTTTCTTTAGGTAAGAATGATGGCAGGAATGCCTGCCACCCATGTTTACTTATGAAGACTAAACAAGATAATGCACACAATTATGCTCTGTATTATACAAATTTTAATTATTCCCACAAGTTAATCATCAAAAACTAATATTTATGGAAAACTAGATTATGCCAAGCCCTGCACTAGATACTTTACTGGCAAAGACTCATAGCATTCTTCCATCACAGGATGAAGAGTCAGAGTTCAAGTAATGCCCCCACCTCCACAAAACAAAACAGCCAGGTATTTCACTAGGCTGGAAGGATTACAATATCAAAAGGCTGGTACTTACAACCAAATTAAAGAAACAAAGCACATATTTACTCCCAACTAGCATAAAGATAAGAACCTGGCTGAGCCCAAGGTTAGTATTCAAATACTTTATAGCAGTGACTGGGGGCCGAGAAGAGGGGGGCCAATCAATATACCTCAGGGATAAGGAGTAAGGGACACGGGACAGTATGAAAAAGTGTATTTACCATTACAGGGATAATTTTCATATTTATAAAATGAAGGGGGAACCCCACTGTTTTCTTAATACAAATCACATACTGTAAAGGTCCACAAACTTCTCAGCTGAGGATCTACACAGAACACATGGGGGCATCTGCTCTAGGGGTAAGAGGGAAGGAGAGAAAACAGGTTGTTTTTGTTTTTTAGCATAGGTTTTGCTTTTATTTTCCTTTTATTTATTTTTCTGTAGAGACAAGGTCTCGATTTGTTGCCCCAGCTGGTCTTAAACCCCTGGGTTCCAACAATCCTTCACAATGGCCACCCAAAGTGCGGGGATTATAGGCATGAGCCACCACACATAGCTTTTAAGTGACTTTATTTGACCCCAGAGCTATAAGAAGCTGTAGAGATCATTCCACTAAAATACCCCTGGTCCTACCCTTCTCCATTTTACAGCTGAAGTACACCAAGCTGTAGGGCGGGGAGCTAACCTCACAAGGCCGCATGGTAAATTATGGACAAAGCTGAAGCTAGGCCCTACATCTTTGGTTTGTTTTTATTGACCCGATGCTCAGTTGACAAAAGAAGCCTTAGATCCCTTGATTCTCAGGCTGGTGCTCTCTTCTCCAACCCAAGCTGCCCTACCTCCGCACCTCTAGCAGAGGTTACAGCACGCTGAGAACCTAGCACAGCGCTTGGCACCAGGAGCTATGTTAAGAATGGAAGAACAAAAGGCCCACAAGGAGCAGTTAAGCAACAAAGTCTTGTGTCATTATCAGCCAGACATCAGGTACCCAGTGAGTCCCAGCAAGTGTGAGGTCCAAGGCTCATTGTTAGCCCCAGACCTTGTTCCAGCCTAGACACTTAGGGTGGCTGTGTCTGCCATCCCTCCCCCTTGTCTTCCAGTCTCCCTCTCTTCCCTTTTGACCTCAGCCCTCAAGGCCAGAATGGCTGCTGGGCTACCAGGGCTGGGTTGGGGCAGGAAGTGGGGGGTTTACCTGCCCGAACAAAGTAGCAGTGCAGGGAGTGCACGTGGACGTCTTCACTCACAGACTTGGCTGCAGCCACCAGTGCCTGGCCCACGATCTGACCGCCAAACAGCCTCTTGGCCGGTACCCAGTAATGCCTTCCTCTGTAGGGAGACGGGGGAAAGAGGGAAAGACTTGGGAACTGGGCCAAATTCTACTACCCTCGCTGAGACTCTAGTGCATGATCTCTTCACCTTATTGGGGTTTAAGATCCTTTTGAGAATATGGTAAAAGCCATAGGTCCTTTCCCCAGGCAAATATCCTTATGCATAAAAATCTTCTGGGCCAGGCGCAGTGGCTTACGCCTGTAATCCCAGCACTTTGCGAGGCTGAGGCAGGTGGATCCTTTGAGATTAGGAGTTCAAGAGCAGCCTGGCCAACATGGTGAAACTCCATCTCTACTAAAAATACAAAAATTAGCTGGACGTGGTGGCATGCACCTGTAATCCCAGCTACTCAGAAGGCTGAGGCAGGAGAATCACTTGAACCCAGGAAGCAGAGGTTGAGGTGAGCCAAGATCGCACCACTGCACTCCAGCCTGGGCGACAGAGCAAGACTCCATCTCAAAAAATAAAATTAAATAAATATATAAATGAATAAACAACAAGAGCCCTCAGACATCAAGTCTAACTCCTTCAGTGTACAGATGAGAAAACTGCAGCTTGGCCCCAGAGATGAAAATGCTTGCCCAGAATGTAGGCCCATTGGAAGCTGAATAATTAAGTCTCTAGCCTCCCACGTCCCAGCTGTTTGGCATTTTCTGTAACAATGAGTTACGAATAGCCCTCCATGACCTGGCAGGTGGCTCTCGCCTGTAATCAATCCCAGCACTCTGGGAAGCTGAGGTGGGAGGATCGCCTGAGCCCATGAGTTCAAAACCAGCATGGGCTCCAAAGTGGGACCTCATGTGTACTAAAAATAAAAAGGTTAGTTGGATGTGGTGGCGAGTGCTTGTGGTCCCAGCTAAACGGGAGGCTGAGGCAGAAGGGTCACTTGGGCCCGGGAGGTCGAGGCTGCAGTGAGCCATGTTCGTGCCACTGCACTCCAGCCTGGACAACAGGGCCAGATCTTGTCTTCAAAAACAAAAATCAAATAGCCCTCCAAGAAGTTATTTATAATTCCTTAAGTGGAAGAAAGGGAGCTCAAAGTAGGATAACTTCCAGTAAAGCCAGGAGAAGCCTTGCTGCAGGGGCTGGAGGCGGTGGCTCACGCCTGTAATCCCAGCACTTTGGCAGAGATGGGCCGATCACAAGGCCAGAAGTTCGAGACCAGCCTGGCCAACATGGTGAAACCCCCGTCTCTACTAAAATAAATTAAAAAATTAGCTGGGCCGTGGCGCGCCTGTAATCCCAGCTAATCAGGAGGCTGAGGCAGGAGAAATGCTTGAACCCGGGAGGCGGAGGCTGCACTGAGCCGAAATCACACCACTGCACTCCAGCCTGGGCAACAGAGCAAGACTCCTGTCTCAAAGAAAGAAACCCTCGCTGCAGTCAAGAACTTCAGCAATGCTGGGAAGGAAACAAACATGCTTAGGCCTTAGGATAAGTAATGAGATACCAGACCCACCAAATGGTACTGGGGGCGGGATATTGTGAGAAGAAAAGGATACTGAAGACGCAAGGAGCTGCGGGGTCTGTTTTAACGTTGATCCATCAGCTGTGTGCCCCTGGGCAAATCACTGCCCTCTCTGTGCTAGCTCCCCTGTGAAGGCTTAGGGCAGGCTGCCGAGCAGGGTCTCTCAGGTCACCACTATATTTGCTCAGATCTCCAGGACTACCTAGAGATGGGGCTGCGCAGACCTCGCGGCAAGGAGAGGAAGGGAGGAAGCCAGAGCAGCGAGGACAGCTCTGTCGGGGGTGCGTTCTCTCCTAATTGTGGCAGAGGGTGCATCCTACGCAGAGCCATCCTAGTTCCGGAGCCAGGGGCCCCGGGGGGCGGCAGTCAAGATCAAGAGTTTCTGCCCTAAAGAAGGGGATGCTGGGCAGGAGCTGCCGGCTACCTGAAGAGATCCTCGTCCAGCGGCTCGAGGTTGAGCACGGTCGTGACCAAGACGCTACGGAGGTCCCTAGGGGGATCGCCGCGGTCGCCACAGCCCTGCCCATCTTCTGGGGCCTGCGGGGACGACATCTAGCTCAAGGCTGCCGGCCCTGAACACCCGCTCCGCGGAAGACGCGGAAACATACACCGAACCTGACGCTTCCGGTAGATTGCCCTAGTAACCGGAAGTCTCCTGCGGACCCCGGGAAGGCGGAACCTAGGTTATGATTGGTCAAGACTCCTGTCAGTCCGCTGGTGGCTGTAGCCCTTTTTCTCTAGCAATTGGAGACAATGAATGCCAATCTGCGAATCCTGTGTGTGACTGGATATGTCGCTGAGGGGGCGGAACCTCGAGACTGGATAATATGGACTGAGTGTCATTTCCCCCGTCAGATAGCAAATACACCCCCTTCCTCTTGTAACCCGGTCAGGCCTAGGGCTCTTCCTGACTTCCAGAATAGGCCACCCAGTTGGGCGGACCCTTAAGGCATTCTGGGCCCACGCCAGCCCATAAACCCTCATAGTGTGACCTTTGACCCCTGGTGTGATCTTGGGCCTGGGCTGGGACCAGCCCCTGGTGTGGGTTGTGGGGGCGGCCATGGAGCTGGGCAGCTGCTTCAAGACCTATGAGGACTTCAAGGAGTGCTTCAGCGCCTACAAAAGGGAGAACAGGTGCTCCTTCATTCTCAGGGACTGCGTCTCCGTCCGCTTCCACAACCTCAACCATGGCACCTCCATCCGCGAGGACATCCTGTAAGGGCGGGCGGGCGGGGCGGGGCGGGGCAGGAGGGTGGGGAGGAGGCTGGAACTCCGGAGGGCTGCCTGGAGGAGGAGGGGATGCTTAGGCACGCTTTGGGCTGCGTGGCCATTCATTCAACAGGCACTCATTGAGCACCTGTTGTGTACCTTGTGAAGAGAGCTAAGCCTCCACGGCCGTCGGTTTTTGACCACCCACTTCACTTTCACTCCATCCATAGGCTTTTCTGGAATTTATAACTGCAGTTTCTGCCATTGTTTTGAGCAGCTGCCACAACCCAAATACAAAGTATGGCTTTCATAAACGGATAAAAACACCTTGGTGATAATTTCCTTCATCAGTCTCCTCTTTACAAAACAGTCATATGGTCATTTGAATGTTCGTTCATTCATTCATTCAATTTTTAGTTCATATATATTTGTTGAAACAGGGTCTCACTCTGTCCCCCAGGCTGGAGTGCAGTGGCACAATCAGCTCACTGAACCTTCAACTGCTGGGCTCAAGCGATCCTCCCACCTCAGCCTCCCAAGTAGCCAGGCATGGTGGCTCCAAGTAGCCACCATGCCTGGCTAATTATTTTTTATTTTTGTAGAGACTAGGTCTTGTTATGTTGGCCAGGCTGTTCCCAGACTCCTGGACTCAAGCGATCTTTCAGCGTATCAAGGTGTTAGGATTAACAGGCATGAGCCACTGCGCCTGGCCTATTCATTCATTTTGTAAATGGTTTTTGAGCTCCTTATATCAACCGTTTTTCAAACACTTTCCATGTGCCAGGCAGTGTTCTCTATGCATGCTTTACCCTGCAGGGCTTTTTTTTCAGAATTATAGATAAACGTTATTTTTTCCCATTTGACAGATGAGAAGTCAGGCTTATAAGTTAAGACAGGAGTTGAAAACTCAAATGCCTTCAGGGCTTAGGTGAAACAGCCTAGTGTAATAAAGTTTTAAATTCGAATTTTACTTTAAGAAAAAGAATGATAAAATAGCAACCAACACCAGGTCTTTGTGCTAGGGACAACAGAAGTGTGAAATGGGCAAAATGGAGAGCAGATGCCATCTAATCAGCTCCAGCTGATGGCTGCCATATGAAAATAAAGATCTAGTGTTGCCAGAATTTGGGGCAAGAGTTATCAGAAATCCACACTTTATGTGGATTTTTCCATTAAAAAAAATTGAATATCAGTTCAAATTTTAACTCAGAGCATGCGGGCCAACTCAGAGTTAAAGCATATCCGAGTTTGAGACTTGGATTGAAATACTCAACCAAAGCTCCTCAATTAGAGAGCCAGGCTATATTCTTTCCATTATTCTGAAGTCCAGTGTTATGCTGGGTATAGATGACATAAAGATGAATAAGTGTTCAGACTATCCCCAGAGAACTAGGATAAACTTGAACTCAAGCAAACTGGCATGTGATAAATGCTTTAAAAGGAATGTGCAAAAAAAAAAAGAAAGAAGAAATGTGCAGAGAAAGAAATGACAAATGCCTGGGAGGTGGGGAAAGTCTTCACACTGGAATTGATGGTTTCCCTGGGCTGTGAATGAATGTAGAGTGCTAGAGTAGATCTGTGGTTAATTACTGAGTAGCATGGAGGCATTTGACCAGAAGTTGCTGTGCAGAAGGACCTGCAGGAGCAAAGACAAAGATACATGAAAGAAGGTGGCATGTTAGAGTAACAGTGAGGGATGCCATGTTTGGCGGGAGATTAAGTCATTTGCAGTCTAAGGGTCTTTAGTGACCATTGTGAGGTGTTTGGACCTTGTCCTTTATGGGTAAGACCTTACTAAGCAATGAGAAGAATACAAAAAAAAAAAAAAATCACAGTTGCCCCTAAACACCCTTCAGGAAGACCATATCCAGTGTCTAGCACAAGGTGTGGCCCATAGCAGGCATTAAATCATTATTGAATGAGTGAGTTAGCAAGTACTAACCATGTGATTCAGGGAAATAGGTGCTGCAAGAAAAAAAAAAAGAATCCATTTCCTTTCCTTTCCACCTCCTAGAGGCTGCCCAGCGCACCTTGGGTCATGGCCCCCTTCCTCCATCTTCAAAGCCAGCAGTAGCAGGTTGAGTCATCATATCACTCTGACCTTATTTCTGTCATCACGTCTCTGACTCCCTCTTCTGCCTCCCTTTTCCACTTTTTTTTTTTTTTTTTTGAGATAGAGTTTTGCTCTTTTTGCCCAGGCTAGAGTCTCGGCTCACCACAACCTCTGCTTCCCGGGTTCAAGTGATTCTCCTGCCTCAGCCTCCCGAGTAGCTTGGATTACAGGCATGCGCCACCACCCCGGCTAATTTTGTATTTTTAGTAGAGATGGGGTTTCTCCATGTTGGTCAGGCTGGTCTTGAACTCCTGACCTCAGGTGATCCACCTGCCTCGGCCTCCCAAAGTGCTGGGATTACAGGCGTGAGCCACTGTGCCCGGCCCTTTTCCACTTTTCAGGATCCTCATGATTATATTGGGCCTACCCAGATAATCCCAGATAATTTCCCTATTTTCAAGTCAGCTGATAGCAACCTTAATTCTATCTGCAACCTTAATTCTCCTTTGCCATGTAACCTAACATATTCACAGATTCTAGGATTAGGACAAGGACATCTTCAAGGGACCATTCTGCCTGCCACAAAAAGATTAATATCCTGGAGGGAAAAATGGTGTGAGTCAGTGCAGATGTAAACATGATGTACTTCAATTAGAAAACAGTGATGGGCTGGGCACAGTGGCTCACACTTGTAATCCTAATACTTTGGGAAGCTGAGACAGGGAGATTGCTTGAAATCAAGAGTTCAAGACCAGCCTGGGCAACAAAATGAGATCCCCATCTCCACAAAAAAATTTTAAAATTAGGGGCCACTCGTGGCAGCTCACACCTATAATTCCAGCACTTTGGTAGGCTGAGGCAGGCAGATGGAATGAGGCCAGGAATTCTAGACCAGCCTGGGCAATATGCCAAAACCCCATCTCTACAAAAAATACAAAAAGTAGCCAGGTATAGTAGTGCGTGCCTGTAGTACCAGCTACTCTGGAGTCTGAGGCAGGAGGATTACTTAATCCCAGGAGTAAGAGGTTGCAGTGAGCTATGATCGCACCACTGCACACTACATTCTAGCCTGGGCAACAACAGAGTAAGATCCTGTCTCAAAAAAAAAAAAAAAAAAAAAAAAAGCAGTGATGTATGTTTGCACGCACATACAAAAGCCATGAGGAGACCTGCTTAGTTAGAAGGAAGGATTTATGCTGGAGCAGCAGGAAAGGAAATTGGAAGGTTGATAAGCAGGTTGGTGGGTTGGGGTTTGTTTTGTTTGTTTTAGAACACAAGGTCTCGCTCTGTTGCCCAGGATAGAGTACAGTGGGAGGATCATAGTTCACTGTAACCTTGAAATTCTGGCCTCAAGTAATCATACTACCTCAGCCTCCTAAGTAGCTAGGACTACAGGTATGCACCCCCATGCCAGGCTAATTTTTTAAAAATTTTTTTATTTTTTGTGTTGAGACAGGGTCTTGCTATGTTGCCCAGGCTGGTCTTGAACTCCTAGCCTCAAGCTGTCCTCCTGCCTCGGCCTCCCAAAGTGCTGGGATTACAGATGTGAGCCACCATGCTGGACCTATTTTTGTTTTTAAAGGTGAACAATTTTAAAAGTGTTTTGGGGCCAGGCACAATTCAGTCACTTGAACCCAAGAGGCAGAGGTTGCAGTGAGTCGAGATCATGCCACTACTCTCCAGCCTGGGTGACACAGTGAGACTCTGTCTCAAAATAAATAAATAAAAAGTGTTTTTGTTTTTGAGTGGTTAACATAATTAAGAAATTTTTTCAAACAGCACAGAACAGAAGGGACTAAAAGGGTCATTTCCACTGTGTTAGCTTTTTTTTTTTTTTTTTTTTTGAGATGGAGTTTCACTCTGTTGCCAGGCTGGAGTGCAGTGGCGTGATCTCAGCTCACTGCAACTTTTGACTCCCTGGTTCAAGCAATTCTCCTGCCTCAGCCTCCCGAGATTACATGCACGCACCCCACACCCAGCTAATTTTTGTATTTTTAGTGGAGACAGGGTTCCACCATGTTTGCCAGGATGGTCTTGATCTCCTGACCTCATCCACCCACCTTGGCCTCCCAAAGTGCTGGGATTATAGGTGTGAGCCACTGTGCCCAGCCTGTATTATCTTTTTTATCCATATTTATTTATTTATTTATTTATTTATTTACTTACTTATTTTGAGATAGAGTCTTGGTCTGTCACCCAGGCTGGAGTGCAGTGGTGCGATCTTGGCTCACTGCAACCTCTGCCTCCCGGGTTCAAGTGATTCTCCTGCCTCAGCTTCCCAAGGAGCTGGGACTACAGGCATGCACCACCACGCCTGGCTAATTGTTGTACTTTTTTTTTTTTTTTTTTTTTTTTTTTTTTGAGACGGAGTCTCGCTCTGTCGCCTAGGCTGGAATGCA